ACTCCAGCAACTGAGGGACTGTGCATGCTAGACAAGTACTCCAGCAACTGAGGGACTGTGCATGCTAGACAAGTACTCCAGCAGCTAAGCTACACCTCCAGCCAAATGTGTTTTTCTTTCCTTTCATTCTCACAGAGCTTATGCATGGGAATTTACAAACAGCTCCATTTCAGGGCTGAGGACACAGCCCGGACTGCCTTGTCACCGGGGACAGGACAGCTGTTGATGACACCTGTGCCCGCTGATTCGGTGTCCCTGCTCTCGGGCCTCCAGGTGAGAGGTCCCAGGACCAGGCAATTGGGGGGACTGGGCCCTGGAGGAGTCTGGGTGAGGAGGGAGGGCTTGTAGAGGGACAGAGAATAACATGAATGTGAAGGGTCAGGAAGAAGCCCCCGTCACACCTACATCTAAACCTGTCTGAAGGTTTTATTTTTTGTCCTGTGCTGGTCAGCTCCCAAGTGGCCCCACGTGACCCTGACACTTAGATCTTTGGTGTAGTCCTCTTCCATACGGTAGCAGAACGAGTCCTCACACCCAGTAGGCTACCGAAGTCATGGCATACATGTCATCTGGAGGCAGTCAGCTTCGAACCCAGGCACATTCTCGCTGTCTCTGTCTTTCATCTTTTGATCTTGGAGTCCCCACTTTTATGAGCATCCCACTCAAAAGACCCTCCTGTGGCCTCCTGCCAACAGCAACACCCACGAGCTTAGAAGTGGACTCTTCAGGTGCCATCTAGGTTTGAATGATAGCAACCTTCGAACACTTGGCTGCCACCCCCTGAGAGTCCCTGAGCAGGAACTCTGCCACCGAGGTGCTCTCAGTAACCGCTGGAGGGCAGATGTTTGGGGGAATAACTTGTTGCATAATAATAAATACTAGAAATTTTTTCACTTTCAGATTCTATGTAATGTACACACAATTGGCCTTCTAAATCCATTGGTCAACTGTCTGAAGATCAGATGTACTCACAAAACATGATGTCTGTATTGAATATGTGCAGATTTTCTCTCGTTACGGTTCAATATGTGCAACTACTTACAGCACTTACACACTGTTAGGTACTTAATGCCATTAGTGGTGCAGAGGTACTTTAGATGTACGGGAGTGTGTATGTAGATTGTAAATACCATAGTGTGGTATTATATAAGGGACTTGAGCATTCCAGGTTTGGGATCCACAGGAGTCCTGCAATCCATCCCCTAGCGAGACTTGAGCGATGACTGACTATTGCTTTACCACCAGGAGAAAAAATACTTTAAACGATCGATCAAGTAAACCCTTCATTACTGTAAGATAACGGACATGGGCTTGGCTGCCTCTTGACGCTCCTGGGAAGTGGGACCAGTGGGCTCAGCAAGGACTTCCTTAATTTTTCCTCTTAGACAAAATATTCTCCAATAAGAACGGAGGGAATATGAGGTCATTACAAGATAATACAATGACCACGTTGCCTAATGCACAGCAAAAGTTCTTCAAATAAGTGGCAGGTTTGCTGTTTGGGGATTCCATGTCGCTTACGGTCTCTTAGGACCTCAAGTCTAAACTTCAACGCAACCAGCAAGAACGGCTCTCTCCTCGTGTCGCCACAGGGTGGCGCTGTGACACTAACCTCCTCTCCACTCCCGCCGGCTTCCAGCTGGCGCTGCGGCAGGAAACTGGTCCCCTCCAGACTGCCAAGGCTTGCGTGTCGGGTTACCAAGAGCGACCGGGCAGCCAGACACCCTCCAAGCATTCATCCGGCAGATAATGAGGAAACAGGCCCCAGCTTTGTACCCATCTGTAAGGCCAAAGTAAGGGCTGCCCAAAGTGGGCCTGGAAGCGGGGGCCGGGGTGGGGTGGGGTTGTAGTGTCTAAATGGATTCTCAGTGCTGAGGCTCCACACCCTACGCTCTCAGGTTGCGACCCTTTGCAGGGGGTGGTGGTGGTGGTGGTGGTGGTGGTGGTGGTGGTGGTGGTGGTGTGTGCGTGCGTGTGCGTGCAAAAACGGTTTGGTTTGCGAGGTACTTAGCTATGTCCTCAGCCTCGGAAGTCGGCTTCTAAACTGTCTCAAACTCCAGTTACATCACAGTCGCCCCGGGACTTGTTAAACAGTGGTTTAACCGTCCAGTTCAGCAGCCTGGCCGGTGGCCGGAGAATTTGCCTTTAAAACATGTTTCCAGGGATGCTGAGGGGGCCGGTTCACTCCTGCAAAGTTCTCTGGGACCAGAAGAGAAGCCTTTCACTTTGACGGCTCTCTCCACTTCGATGCCCTGGCTCTCAGGCAAGCTCCTGATCCGCCCTTGGGCCACGGGAGGATTCTTGTTAGAAGTCATCATGGGTGGTGCAGGAGGCTGGCCTTCCCTGCTGTGTCCAGACAAAGACGGCACAAACTCTCAAAGCTCCATTGTGGGCACCAGATCTTTGGAGACATTCTACCCGATGCCACCAGGCAAAAACTGTCACTCCCCTACTTGTAAGTGGTGCAGCAGGGGTTTGCACGGTCCTGACGAGGTGTTGAATCATCCCACAAAGAGCCCGGACAACTCAGATGGACAGAAGGAAGTCAGAAGCATGAGCCAGGTCCCTCCTCACCATGCTTCAGGCACCGGGTCTCTGCTGGCCTCCCTCTGACTGTGGCCTATCTGGTCATGAGCTCCATGCTTTGCCGTTTAGCCCAGATGATTCCCGGTAGCTTAGCCCTATAATCCCAACTACTCTAAAGGCTGAGGCAGGAGGACGGCAAGTTCAAGCCTGACTTAACTAGAGAGAGTTCAAAGCCAGCCTGGGCGACTTAGACACATCGCAAACACTAAGCAGCTAAAAGAGAGAACAGTGGGTGATGCGCCCACAGTTGGGAGAGTGCTTGGCTGTGCCCACAGTTGGGAGAGTGCTTGCCACCTGGTTCAAAGCCTGGATTTGGCCCTCAGCGATGGGTTAGCTGGGTGTGGGGGCACATGCCTGAAACCCCAGCATGAGGGAGGTGGGGGCAAAAGGACCCAGAAGTTCAAGATCATCCTCAGTTACACAGTGAGTTTATGGCCAGCCCAGGACACCTAAGACCCTGTCTATTAACTAACTAACTAACCAGTAAAAGAGGGCTGGCTATGGCTCAAAGGTTCAAGGGAACAGACTCACGAACAAGCTTTCCAGCTGGACGGAAGGTGAGGTCCACAAAAGAACAGGTTAAACAACAGCTTCTCCAAAGTGTGGGACACACTAGCCCACAGACTCTATGCTTGCACGTGCCTGGATGGGAATTACAGACTCTGGGAAATTCTGTGCTAGTTTAAGGAGAGGCCTTAGCAGCTTGTGCTACCCATGGTCACTGCATCATGTAGAAAAGATGTTTTTATTCTTCCCCAGTTACTCATGGCCGCACAGCCATTGAGTTTTGCATTTCTGCCAGATGTAGATCCCTGGCTCCATCGGTGGTCCCTATCCCATGCCACCAACTCGGTTTTGATCTGTTTTCTTCTCTCTCCCTCCCTCCCTCCCTCCCTCCCTCTGTCCCCACCCCCTCTTTCTCGGATGCTGGCGCTGACTCCAGGCCCTTGCCCTTGCTAGGCAAGCACGTTACCAGCAAGCTGCATCCCAAAACCTCTACCCCTTTAATTCTTTCTTTTATTATGAAGATCAGCCTTTCTTAACCTCCACCCCAAATTCTGGAACTGAGGACTCGGTATAACCTCGATACCCAGGGATGAACAGATACCAGGAGAACACATTTTAAAACATCACTTCTTTCATGAAGATAGTAATGTGAAATGATACAACCACTGTGAAAGTGATTTCTGCGGTGCCTTAGAATGTGAAGCGCAGACCTGATGTTCATGCCACCCATTCTGAGTATTTACTGTGTCTACCCAAGATAAATGAAAACATGTGTACCACAAATATATGTGAGCAGCAGGTTGTAATAGCCTTATTTAAGTGACTAAAAGCTAGAACAGTTTCGATGGCCAACAACAAGTGAGTGAATACACACATCCAGGTGTATGCATGAAATCAAATTATCAAAATGATGTGAGTGAACTACCAAATAGCCCTTCCACAGAGAAGACGCCAGGATAAAAGACGACCCTCTTTCTACAAAATTCTAGAAAATGGAAGTGAATCCAGAAGGCAAAGCATTCTTTGAACTGAGGAAAGACAAGTAAGGATTAGGAAGGGGTGTGCAGAGATGTCTGAGTCAGAGTGACTACAGAGACATGGTCCTTGTGGGAGGTTTTAGGCGTGTTGCTTTGTCAAAGATTTCAATGCCTGCAGCAACACGTCAGTTATGCACAGCCATGCTATTGCTCTTCAAGGCGGTAATGTAACTCTCAACAACGGCAAAACAAACGACAAAGTAAAAGCAAAGTGGACAAAAGACATTTTGTCAAAATAGATAGCAAGCACGCATCTAGTAATGCTTACTGTTAACCGCTAAGGAAGTCTAGCTGAACCCACAGTGGATCTCACTGCATGGCCACAAAACAGATACAGCAGTGATAGCTGCAAAAGGCCCTTACAATACCAAGTTCAAGTTGTAAAGAGGATGAGGGTAGCCAGAACCTATATCTCTTAGTATTAGGGAAAATGGTAAGACTCTGAGGAAAAGCTCGCCATTTCTTATAAAGTTAGACACACACCCAATGTGGAACAAGCGGTCCTTCTCCCTCAACTGTGAGCAACCTAAATGCCCTTCGAAAGGTGGGAGGCTAAGTGACTGTGCTACCTTTAACATGGAACGGCATTTGACAATGAAAAGGAGTCAACAACTGACATGCCACGACATGGATGCAAACACAAGAGGTGACATGCAACAAGATTCCTTCCATTTGAGGGGCACTCCAGAAAAGACTAATCCGGAGTTGGGAGAAACTTTTTTTCTATCAAAGGAAGCACCCTTTATTGTGTGATATGTCCATGTGTCCAGCCCTAGACATTCTTGAAATTTGCCTATCACACCCTCCTCTTTCCCTCCAACTAGCCAACCAGGAGTACATGATGAGGTTGAACCTCAGCCTACCAACCAAGTTCCCCATTGCCTTAAGAATAAAAGACAGAGGCCGTCTTGGCCATGTGCTTGCTATCCTGGGTTAGGTCATGGCATAACCTTTTTTGGGGGTGGGGAAATTGCCATGCCACATTACTTTTGCTTTTTTCATTTTTTTTTTTTTTTTTGGTGATGTGCCAAGATTATTCTTTTCTAGCAAAAGTGATGGAGAGTATCAGGTTGGGGTAGAGAAAGATGATAAAATTATTACTTTCCAGTGTGGTGGTTTGAATGAGAATGACCCTCATAGACTCATATATTTGAATACTTGGTCTCCAGTTGGTGGAACTGTTTTGGAAGGGTTAGGAGGTGTAGCCTTATTGGAGGAGGTGTGTCCCTGGGGGTTTCAAAAGACTCTTGCTATTCTGTTTGCTCATTCTGCCTCCTGGCTGTAGATCAAGATGTGAGCTCTCAGCTACTGCTTCAGCACCATACCTGCCTGATGCCATGCTCCCTGACACGATGGTCATGGACTCTAACCTTCTGAAACCGTAATCCCCAAATCAAACATTTTCTTTTACGAGTTGCATTGATCATGATGTCTCGTCATAGTAATACAAAAACAAGTGGGACGGCTGGTTATCGGCTATTTCTTCCTCCTGATTTGGTGGTGGGTATGTAGTCTACCTACATGTTTGTCAAAACTGTAGAACCAGACACCAAAGAGACTGAATGTCACTCTGTGTAAATAAAGACATGTGGAATCAGTTTGCACTGTTATAGAAACATCAGACAGTGTGGGACCGAGAAGAAGGGTGTGAAGGCTTTTACACAGGCACAGCTTAGTGCTTTGAGCTGCTCCTCAGAGCTCCTGGCCAGCAGTTTCAAATTGTACTTTCAGGTTATTTCCTAACATGATTTATGAATGTATACAAGTGTTTTATTTTTACAGAAACAAGAGTATATCATACCTATGGATCTGCAGCTGCCCCTTTTCTACAAACTTCAAGAGCCTGGAAAACTAAGATTTAATTGGCAATGTACAGTGCAATGCAATTTAAAACCAGCCCTCTACCTTCAAGGTGACACAGTGATTGTGCTACCCCTGAGACCTGGGTCTTAGAAGCAATTAGACCGATGGCGACCCTGAAGGAGAAAGCTTCCCCAGATAGTTGTCTCTCTGTCTTCTTAGGTTCTCCATAGGGATCATGGTCAGTCTGCTAGAGGGAGTGAAGGGCAAACACTTCTCAGACTCGAGGGCCTCAGAGGCTCCTTGGGAAGCCTGAAAAGCCTTCAGTGGGGCTGTAGCCAGGATGCGGAGCCAATGCCAGTTTTCCAAGGTGAGAAATAAAGCAATGAGCATATTTTATTACTTGCAGCCTTAGGAATTGAACCAGGGGCCTCACACATGCAAGGCAAGTACTCTGCCCATGTCCTTTTTCTCATCTCCATTTAGAGATAGAGTCTCACTGGATTGCCTGGACAGACCTTCAATCCTCCTGCCTCAGCTTCTCATGTCAGTGTCATGTGCCTTGCTGGCAGAATGCTGAAGCCTGTACTCTGGGATCCTAGGACGTGCTGACGTTGCTGTGACACTGTAACATGCTCCAGAGAGTGGGTGGTGTGGCAATGTGGCAAGAGATGGGGCCCTGTAAGAGGACAGCTTGCGTTGGAACCCGGCTTTTGACTTTACGAGGTAGATGACCTTGGGCAGGTCCATGAGCTCTTGGGTTGCACGGGCTTGTTGCAGAGATCAGTAACTGTGTATGCACACGTGTGGCAGTTGACTAGCAGGTAGGAAGCTAGCCTTGGTGTGCTCTCCTGTTACTTCCTCTCCAGGCTGTTGACCCCAGTCTGAGAGATAAGACCTCTCCAGGCCGTTGACCCCAGTCCCACTTTTGGGGCTCCAAGGAGGGGCTGCCAAACAGGTGCTGCCAGCAACTGGCCCTTCCCCCAGAGGCAGCTGGAGCCCGCTCCGACTTTTTCCGTGTCAGCACCGACAGACAGCTGAAGCTTTCTGTGGGATCTTGGCAAGCAGGGCCTGTATTGATTTTGTTCTCAAAGCCTTTCAAGTGGCGGCTGCCCCTGTGATCTGGCTGCGGGGCCCAGTTATAAAGCCAGCGCAGCCCCTCAATGGTTCTTGGAGGGTTTTGTGTTTCCAGAAAGGAACCCAGAGCGCCCAAGCCTCAGCCAGTGAGTGTTCACCGGGGGCCCAGAGCTCAGGACCTTCTTGAGGGTATTTCCCAGCTGTGCGGGTACTGGCTGAGCACTGTCAAAAGGCTCCTGCCTCAGCACCTCACTTTCAGCGTCAGAGAGCAAATATTGGTCCTGCCTGCTACGTGCCCTGAAGCCACACAAAGCACTCCCAAGACCTTTACCGCCCGCCAGGCTTGCTGGCCAGGTCACGGGGAAAGGAAGGCCACCTCAGCAAGATCGCAGCTCATTCCTGCCAATATTTAAACCAGGGCACTTCTTCCAGGCCAGCACATCCTTTGGCTCTCAGGGCTGCTGCAGTATTGGCCGGATGGTGGGAGGCTCAGTGAGGGGACCCCAGGGAGGACTCAGATTACAAGCAGGAAGTGAAACCCTAAAGTGGAGTCCCCCCCCCGCCCTTTTCTCCCCTTTATACAGAAGCCATTCACTGTCCACTGTTTTCTCTTGAGGCAAGAAGGGTCCCTCTGTGGCTGCAGTGGGCTAGCTGAGGGGGAGAGATTGGGCTGTCAAGCTGGGCATGGCAGGGGAGCCTGTCATCTTAGTTCTTGGAAAGCGGAAGCAGGAGGATCAGAAGTTCAAGGCCAGTTTCTGATGTACAACAAGTTTCAGGTCAGTCTGAGCTACATGAGCCCTGCCATGAGAGGGCTGAGGGGCTGTCGACACGAAGGGAAACGTTTTGTGTCAATGTGGAATGGAGATGGCCAGTGAGAAGGCGGGCGGGGGGGGGACCCACTCTTGTGGAATGGAGATGGCCAGTGAGAAGGCAGGGGGACCCACTCTTGTGGAATGGAGATGGCCAGTGAGAAGCAGGGGAACCCACTCTTGTGGAATGGAGGTGGCCAGTGAAAAGGCAGGGGGACCCACTCTTGTGGAATGGAGGTGGCCAGTGAAAAGGCAGGGGAACCCACTCTTGTGGAATGGAGATGGCCAGTGAGAAGGCAGGGGGACCCACTCTTGTGGAATGGAGGTGGCCAGTGAGAAGGCAGGGGAACCCACTCTTGTGGAATGGAGGTGGCCAGTGAGAAGGCAGGGGACCCACTCTTGTGGAATGGAGGTGGCCAGTGAGAAGGCAGGGGAACCCACTCTTGTGGAATGGAGGTGGCCAGTGAAAAGGCAGGGGACCCACTCTTGGAGGAGGGACTTCTGAAAGCTGTCCTCTGACTTCCAGTTTGGGGCTGTGGCGCTAGTCTGCCCTCATATAAGCATACACACACACACACACACACACACACACACACACACACACACACACACACACACACACACCCCACAGTAATAATAAAGGAAACAAAAGTTCGATTAAATTCAATTAAAAATTTATAATGGAGAAAAAGTCAAGAGCAAGTGGATTTTTGTGTTTATATTTTAATTTATTTGGCTGGGCTTAATTTTAAACCTCTTTTTAAAAAAAAAAAATGACTGTTTGAGACAGGGTCTTACTATATAACCCTGGCTAGCCCCAAACTCAAGGTGATCCTTCTGCCTCAGTCTGGGACTACAGGCTAAACCTGTATATATACATACATATATACATACGTGTGTGTGCCATACAAATGTATGTATGTAGGCATATTTGCATGTGTATTGGCAAGTATGTGTGTCCCTGAGTGTGTACATGTGAAGGCTCGTATGGAGGCCAGAGATTAACATTGGACGTTTTCCTCCGTCGCTGTCCTCTTTACATACTGAGGCAGAGTCTATTGCTCATTCAGCGCTCACTGATTCAGCTAGGGTCATCTCTGGGATCCCTGTCTCCACCTCCTGAGTGGAGATGACAAGTGGGTCACCACACCTGCCTGGCATTTGTGCAGGCGCCAGGGATCTGAACTTAGGTCCTCATTCTTGTGTGGCAAGGGCTTTACCCACTGAACCATCTCCCTCACCCTCAACCACTTTTTTTTTTTTTTTTAAGCAGCTACAGGCTGGCAAGATGACTCTGTGGGTCAAGGTACTCGCCACCATGCGTAACCACCTGAGTTCAGTGCCCACCACCCACACGGTGGAAGGAGACAGCCGATGCCTACAAGCTGTCTTCTAAACTCCACACCTGTGCCACGGCACGTGCAGCACCCATACCCAATAAATGTAAAAAATTACGAAACAACACTTATTTTCCTTGGTTTGCTATCTTCAGAGAAGTTCCTGAATCTGCACCCAGTGCTAACGGTTCAGTGTTAACCAGCTGACCCTGGCCACTGAGCCACACTCTTGTTGGCGATGACCACAGCCTTGAGTCCATTCTCCTTTCTCAGTCTTGGCCCAAGAATGTCACCATTCATAGTTACTTGACACCACAACCGGTAATCGGTGTTGGTTAGAAACCTCCTGAGATGGGGCAGGCAGCTCGATTGCCTTTTTCCTCTTGCAAGTTAACCACAATCATATGAACTAATAGTGGGGAAAATAAGGCAAACATTTTAAAGGATTTGATATCCTGAGAGAGCTTCACTTTGAAACAGCGAGACGGCACTCTCTGCCGATCAGAGCAGACAAAGCCTGTCGGATCCTGACAACACACGGTGCTGAGGACCCGCAGCAGCAGGGATGCTCTCACGTCCTGGGAACTTGGAATGCCGCAGCCGCGTTGGGAGACTGCTTGGCAGCCTCTTAAGACGCCAAATGTGCTGATATCATACGAGCCATCTTGCTCCATGGTATTGACCGAAGAGCTGAAAAGCACACACATGCCCACACGCTGACGTTTACCAACGCTTTACTCATAACTACCGAAATGTGGAAGCAGCCTCAGTGTTTCTCCGGTGATCCGACAAGACCACGGGACATTTCAGCACCAAAAGGACACCAGCAAGACAGGCAAGACAGAGAAAACGTGTCTACATCTGTTACCAAGTGGAAAGGCCACCCGATTCCAGCGGACATTCCAGAAACAAGCAACACTTAGAGTGGGAGGAAGATGACATTGGCAGAGGTCAGGGGTCGGAGGGATGAATAGGCAGAGCACGGAGGATCTGACGCCAGGAAAATGTTCTTCAGGATCTACAGTGCTGTGTGTGTGGCATCTTACCATTCACAAACCCACGACACGTAACAGCAGGCGTGAAGGGCACTGGAAACTGACTCTGGGTCAGTCTCAGTGGGGGCTCACTGGTCACAGCCAATGTGCCGCCTGGTACTCTGTGTGCCCATGTGGAACAGGAGTCCCCGAGAATGCTATACTTTCCGCTCCACTTGCTTTGAACCTAATGCTGCTCTAAAAATCTGTTCAAGTGTGCATGGTATGGTGGTGTGGTCTCTGCTACGTGAGACCCTGTTTCAAAAACAAGAAAGCAAACGAACAAAGCCAGGTGTGGTGATCCCAGAAGTTGGAAGACCAAGGCAAGACAATTGCCAAAGATGGAGGAGGGCATCCTGGTCTACATAGTGAGTCCCGGGCCGGTCGGAGCTAAAGAGATATATCCTGCCTCAAAAAACAAAAAAAGGAAACATCTCCCAAACTAAGCAAATAAATATAAAGTCATGGTACTCCCCAAGGTGGTCTTTGTTTTGTGTGTTGTTGGTTGGTTTTGTTGTGTTTTGTTTTGTTTTCAGGTGCTGGGTTGAACCCAGCGCCTCACATGTGTTAAGCAAGTATATCCTACCTCTAAGTACAACCTCCTTCTTTTTCCTTTTGACACGGTCTTGCTTTGTGGCTCAGGTAGGTCCGGGCAGGGCATGTGTTTAGAGGAAACAGGACATAATGTTTTCATTACAGTGGGAATCTTGCTCACTTTCCTCATCATTGGGTCACAAATAATCTTCTATAATCGTGCCGTGACTTATTGACTTTTTTATTTCTGGACCCCTAGGTGACTTCCTGTGTATGCTGCTGTGATAGTCAATTCTGCATTCATTGATAACACTAACCGGGCATTGATTACATGCCAGGCCCTGTGGTATGCACATTGCAAACATTAGTAAATGGTTAACCTGGATAACAATGAAAGTCTCTGACAGCCTGGGTGAGGAGATGAGGAAACCCGGACCCAGAGAGGGACCAAGCCTTGGACAGACAGTCTGGCCCGTGTGCAAAGCAGGGGTGTGCGGCTTTACCTGTGTTGCTGGCCATTTCTAGAGTGAGTTTCTGGACGACAAACAGGGGCATTTCCCTGGCGGTCCCTTGATGAGCGCCCTGGCCACTCTCTCGAGGACCCCAACCTCCATTACCTTCCACCCAGCTGAGACAATTCACTGTAGCGCAGGCCATGTGGGACGTTCTGTTTGTTCCTGCTTCTAACCTCGTAAGGGGAAATGGTGGTTTCCTGGATGTTTGAATATTAATTCCTGTGATTTCTGAGGCATTTCAGTGTTTTCTTAGGTTTATTAGTGTTTCGTCGTACTTTCTTGGTGGATTATCTGATGTGTATTATCTCTGTCTATTTTCCATTAAAAACTCAGTTTCTTTTATAAAGCTGAATGACTCATTAAGTGAAGCAAACTTCTTCCCATTGTATGCATTGCAACTGTTACCAGTTTTGTAAAGTTTCATTTTAAGACATTATTTCATGTGCATCTCTTTCTGTATTACGAGAGCGAATGACCCCCCCCACACACACATACACACACACACACACACACACACACACACACACACACACACATACAGTGCTTTCTTTGTTATGCCCCTGTCTTTTCCCAGCCCCATCTCCATCCCCAGCCCCTTTGGATTCATACACTCTCTGAACGCCTCACTGAACCAACAGATCTCTTCCACAAGTTTATTTTGCTACCCTGTGGGGACGGTGAGCTGAGACTCCCATTTAAGCCAGGCGTTGTGAGTCAGGAGCTGCCTGTGCTCTCGGAAGGCTTTAAGAGTCTGCAGAGCAAAGGAGACCTGGCTTGCCTAAGCCAGCGACGAGGAGAGTGCTTGTCCTGGGGATCAACCCCCACAGATGGGATGGAAAACGACGGTGGTACACAGTTGTAATCCCAGCACACAGGGTCAGGCGTTCAAGGTCCCCTTTGGCTCTTTGGCTACACCGTGAGTTGGAGGCGAGTTTGGGTTACATGAGAGAGACTCTTGCTAAAAATGGGGGTAACCCTTGGCAACCTGCAATCAGCTATTGAGAGCATGCTCAGTGGCCACTGAGAGCCAGAACTGGGATACAAAATGAGGCAGTAGCTATCCTAGGAACAGAGGCACATGGCGCCACTGGAGGCAGCAGGTTCTGCCATCACTGTCCACCCCCACCCTACCCCACCCCACCCCCGCTCATCTCCCACCCCACCCCACCCCACCCACCCCTGCTCACCCCCCGCTGTCTCAAAGGTGGGAATTTGAAGTCTGAGGCAGGTGCATCCTTTGGCCACCTATGGCTTACAGTGCAGCTGGGAGACAGGGTCCAGCCTCGGCACCTGGCTGGGCCTCCCACTCATGTTGGGTAAGATGCCCCAAGCCCGGAAAGGGGTTCAGAGGCCAAAAGGTCAACAGATGTCCCAAAGAGCAGACAGGCAGCCAGTCTCCGAGCCCAGGTGGAAAGTTTCAGTAGCAGCTGGTGGGAGGCATCCCAGGACAGCAGGATCTCCAGGGTGGAGCATTAGCCCAGTTACCCTCGACTAGGGACAGCGCTGGCAGTGTCTAAGGACATCAGGGGATGTCACAACCTGGGGGAGGGGAGGAACTGACATCTAGTGGGTAGAGGCCAAGGATGTTGCAAATGTCCTGCAATTCAGAGGGCAGCCCATGCCGTAAGCAAGACTCCTGACAACTGAAAGGTCAGTTGTGCTCAAGTGGAGAACCCTTACTTTCTACAGAGGTCCCAAATGTACCTGCTTCCACAGGACAGCAGCCCAGCGTAGACTCTGGGCTGGAATGAGCAAGAGCCTCCACTCCACAGCAGAACAGCACAAGTGACTGTTTTGTGGAAAGAGGGGGGGGGGGAATGCTGCCCTAAGCAGTGGATTCTCTGGGCAGGTCAGGATAACAGGTGCTCAGGCACACGGCTGCAGGCTGGCACAGGTCTGTCTTCGGAAGGGACAGGATCCCCGAACAAGGGGTTAACTGGGACCAGAGGGGATTCTGTGATGTCGGCTCTGGGGAGGCCCCAGGTAGCACTGATTGTCTCTACTCTGACCTTAAAACCAACATGATTCACCTTGGCCAGACTGTGACTTTCTTAAACACACAGCTGGGGGTGTGGCAAGGGGGAGCGAATGGGAATAGAGGTCTCCAGGGAGCATGAGTTTGTATAATTGGGAAACAAGACAAATGTCGATTTGTTTTCAGGACACAAGAGACAGAAACGAAAGTTTATCATGCTCTTCTTAGTCGGTGAGATAATGTTTTTCGTAAACTCAATTTCTCCAAAAGTCTCTGATTTCTCATAGGTCACCAAACAGTCCTAATTTTCACAACATATCTTATGTTGACAGAATGCTTTTTCAAAACATTTTCGGGGGACTTAGCAAATCGTAGCACCTTAGCAGCCACGGGTGGACAACACTGGAACTATCATTTGAAAGGCAGGGAAACTGAGGCACTGGAGGCTCACCCGGAGTCTGACCCCCTGCCTTCTCTTCTAGGACACACTGGTCTTGAGGACTTCTGAAAGTCCCAGGCTCTGTTTTACTTTGCAGGGAGTGAGTCCCACCCCTCCTGAGCCTTCTCTCAGAATGGCACAGTTTCTCCTGTGGGGGAAGGCAACCTCCCAGCCTCCATCTACTTGTTATTTCTCTCACACGGCCAGAAGCTTGTAGAGGCCACCACTGTTTGTGAAATGCCAGGTCAGACAAGGGATTGGCCCTAGACTCACACCCCCGAGCCATGGCCCTGATGGGTGTGGGGGGGTGTCCCCAGAAACTGGCTTCACAGGAATCCTTTCTTGTAATAAATTGGTGCCAACGCTGTTACGGACATTTGCTTGGTTTTTCTTCCTTTGATGTATTTCCTCTAATCCTAAGATTATTGCTGACCTGGTGTATAATTATTGTTTGGAACCACTAGCAGTCCACTCAGCATTGTAGGAGAAGTACATATCTTAGCCCTGGGAACTATTTTCAGGAGGTAGAGATGGGAGAATGGCAAGTCTGAGGCTAACCTGGGCTACATAACAAGACCTGGCCTGTGTGCCTGTGGTTCATTATTGTAGATGCCACTATAAAGCAATAATCCACAGCAAAGCAGACACTCTCCAGCAGTGCTGTGCATTTCTCCACACCCCTGCTGGTACCAGAGTTACTCTACTGCTCTGGAATTTTAAAGTACTGTAATGGTGCTGAGCACCTTATGGCCCACAAAGCTATGTTCCCATTTTCATAACTCACATTTCTGAGAGGTGAAGACACTGGACTCTGTAAGAGTAACTTTAGTTATGCTGAGGTACAACTGACCCATGATAAATTACACACAGGTGGTGTGCGTTCTGACGAACGACATATGTACACACCGACTAAGACATCACCACTGTGAAGTCAATGTTCCGGTTCCCCATTTCGCTTCCCCCCCCCCCCCCCCCCCCCC